GAAATGAAAAAACCAAGAAAAAGAGCAAAAAACAACTTCAAAGTGAGGATATGGATTTCTCAAATTATAGCTCGGATTCTTTACCTGAAAACACAACGGACCCATCAGAAGTTCAAGACAAGACGAGAAAAGAGAAGAGGCGTATTGGAGGGTTAACTTTCTCATTGTTAGTGGATAAATTTAAAGACATTTTTTTTTCTGATAAGTATGAGAATATTGTGGCTAAGATTAAACACGGGTTATCATTACTTATGGAGTGGGTGAGTGTAAATCTAGTTAAATATCTCTGTGATCTACCTTCTAAGATTAATTTTAATCTATGATTACGAATAAAGTCTGTAATATAAATATTGCCCAATGGAACTCTCGTAGTATTAGATACAAATGTGTTGACTTTGAGCAGTTATTATGGAGAGAGAAGATTCATATAGGGGTTGTCAGTGAAACCTGGCTAAATCCTGCCTTCGAACTTAAAATAAGCGACTACAATATATATAGGGATGACAGAGACGACTCCTATGGCGGAGTAGCTGTTTTTACGCATAAATCTATTAAATCACAACTGCAGCCAATTACCATTTCAAATTCTAATATTCAGCTTTTAAGGGTTAAAATTTTTAATATTAAGTATGTGGAGAACATTATTGTTGTTTACTGTCCATCAAATGCACGCCCACCAATATCACAAAACGTTTGGGATGATTTATTTTCAAAGTTTCACACTAAAACTTTATTTCTCGGTGATTTAAATGGTCACCATTCTAGTTGGTCCAACAAAACAGATTCGAGGGGTAAGATGATATTCGACTCACTAATGGATAATAATTTGGTTGTACTAAACGACGGTAGTCATACATACATCAAATTAGTTAACAATATGCTACAACAGTCATCCCCAGATATTTCTATTGCTACGTCGGATATAGCGGTATATTTTAACTGGATTTGTATGAATGAGACATTAGGCAGCGACCATGTTGTAATAAAAATAATTATGTGCTACGATAATAGTTTTTCTCAATTTATTAAGAAAAGAAATTATAAGAAAGCTAACTGGCCGCTATATAAAAAATATATAGATAGTAAACTTTTTGACTTCAATTTACCAGATGATCCGCAATCAGCCTACGATATGTTTTTAAATATTATAAATGAGTCAGGCGATATGCATATACCTTATATAAAATTTAATCAAGGTCCTTTACAGCAATTTACCTCAAAACCTTACTGGAAACCTGAACTATCAAAGGCGATAGCGGAGCGTCGGTTGGCGTTAAAAGTTTTTAGAAAGAATCCTACCCCTAATAATTTAATTACGCTAAAAGTTAAGATCAGTAGTAGCCAGCGATTGATAAGAAAAGCTAAACGCGAGAGTTGGGTAGATTTTTGTTCATCCATTAACGAATCGTCAAAGTTGACTGACATGTGGCGTAGAATGAAGTGGCTTAAAGGTTATAAATCTCCGAGTTCACATATCGATAAAACGAATGCTTACAATCTGCTGCAAAGTTTAACACCTGACTACGTTACTCCGAAATCACCGATCTTTTGTTCATATAATGAACATTTAGAGCAAACAATAACATTATGTGAATTGGAGAAATGCATTAAATTAAAAGATACGTCACCTGGACATGATAACATATCATATTCAATGATTAAAAACCTATCTACTAGTGCGAGGGACATACTTGTTAATATTTATAATAAAATTCTGTGTAGTGGATATGTTCCTTCACAATGGCGCAATATACGTGTAATTCCGATTCCAAAACCGGGCCGCGATATGTCGGCGGGCGCTGCGCTCAGACCAATATCTCTTATCTCATGTCTATGTAAAATATTTCATTCCATTATAAACAATAGAATCGAGTGGTACCTAGAACATAATAATTTGCTACACGAAGAAACTACCGGCTTTAGGAAATCTAAATCTACCCTCGAAAATTTAACTAATTTAGTTAGTAGGATTCAGTTAGGTTTTGTTACAAACCAAATAACTATAGGTTGTTTTATCGATATTGAGAATGCGTACAACAATGTAGATATTTGTGCATTACTTCGTATTATGGATCAACTGGGCATAGGTTCGAGAATTTGTATTTATTTGTGGACGTTCTTAAAAGAAAGATTTTTAAGTGTGCAGGTAGATAACACAATAATATGCAGAAGTACGAATAAAGGTATAGCACAAGGAGACCCTTTGTCTCCTTTGCTTTTTAATTTAGCGACTATCAATGTCTGTAAGTATATGAGAGAGGTATATGTGTCACAATATGCGGACGATTTCGTATTATACACAACTTGTAAAACAATTGAACAGGGGCGTAACACACTGCAGCTGGCTATAAACCGGTTTTCCCGTTTGATAGCAGGACTCGCGTTAGAAGTGTCACCGACGAAAAGTAAAGTTTGCGTCTTTAGAAAAGGTGTAAACAGACAGCTTATTGATCTAACTATAAATAGCATGAGTTTGGAGCTTGTTGACAGTGTTAAATATCTGGGGATGTGGTTGGACCGGTCATTAAGGTGGAATAAGCATGTTGGTGAGTTGACTATTAGAGTAAATAAATATCTTAACATTTTTAAAGCGCTGGTTGGATCGGGGTGGGGCGTGCACCCTAAACAAATGAGAAGGATTTATATAGCTATAATAAGAAGTAGATTGGATTATGGGAGTTTTTTATACAATAACAGTAGTAAAAGTAATTTATACAAATTAGAGAAAGTACAAAATCAAGCCATGAGAGTTATTGGAGGTTTTATAAAAACTACCCCGATACATGTAATGGAGAGTGAGCTGTGTCTCCCTCCATTGCATGCCCGGCGGTTATATTTAGGAGGGAAACTGTGGTTGAAATGTAAATCTTTAAAAAATAATTTAACGATCAATATATTACAAAGTCTTATTGGATACAAAAATAATAGGTATTGGCGTGGGAAAGGCGTACCTCTTTTACTAGATATGCACGAACACTTCCAAGAGCTTCCCATCCAGTCGAGTCAGGGGTTAGACATGTTTTCTTTAGATACGTGGGTAGGTAGTATAGATTTTTCGGCAATTATAAAACCTAACATTGAAAACATTACATTTGCAAAGCGATGTTACAATATCTCAGACATTAAAAAAATATGTGAAGAATTTATAGATCATAACTACAATACGTATCATAAATTGTACACGGACGGATCAAAGGACAGAGGGTTGATAGGAGCTGCATTTTTAGACGATGAAATAAAAGTGTCAATGAAATTTAAGATAGAAAACAATATATGCATTATGAACGCGGAACTTTTGGCAATCCAGGAAGCATTATCCTATATAAAGTCGATTAAGTCAGACAAATTTGTTATTTTTACCGATTCTCGTAGCTCCTTGCAACATCTGGCTCGCTGCACCTCGGCGATCCGAGGCGCAACGATAGCCTACTCTGTCTTAAACCTTATTTTACAATTAAAAGCTGAATATAAATCTGTGATACTACAGTGGATACCTTCTCATTGTGGAATTATAGGAAACAATAAAGTTGATATGTTGGCGAAGCAAGCTTGTACAGATGGAGATACAGTAAACGTACTCCCATACTATGCCGACTGTATTTATTTAGTTAGAAATCGCTGTCATACATGGTGGAGGGAATATTTCGATCAACGCTCTAAAGAGAAGGGGATATGGTATAAAACCATTGTTACGTACCCTCTGAAGAAACCTTGGTTTGACGGTTGTGAACTAGGTAGATCTGAGTTAATCACCGCTTTCAGGCTACGTTCCGGGCACACCCCGTGCGGAAGGTTCGCCTTTCTGATGCGAAAGGTCGAAACCCCTCTCTGTCCAGTCTGTAAAGTCGTGGAGGACACATACCATCTCCTGGTGGAGTGTGCGCGGAACGAGGCCTATAGAGCTTCTCTTGGCTTTAACATACAGAATGTTGGGGTATGCAACAATATTTTGGCCTTGCCGTTATCGGACAGAGCCAGACTGTTGTATAAATTATACATATTGGGTGTAAATAGTTAGACTTTACATAATTATAGTTTATTATTTTAGTTAAGTATTATTGTAGATCTAGTATAGGCAAAGTATATTATTATATTCTTAGCGAAACTGTCATTTAAGTATATAGAATTAATTATTGTTTGTTAATTTTAATTGAGCGGCATTGTCAAACCTGACATAGCTCAATAAATAAAGAGAAAAAAAAAAAAAAAAAAAACATAATCGGTTGTTAAGAACAACGAATTAAGTTTCAGAAAAGTGATAAATGATAACATAAGTAAAATTATTTTGTGTAAAAGTAAACTTTAACAACAATGGTAACATTTACTTCCCTTTATATTATTAACATTTTATTTAAACGTCTACACCTATGATACATTTATGCGTTCAATTAAATACAATTCTAAATTTGAACAGTTCAATTATTCCGTAAATATTTATAAACATTTTACAACAATTTTATGAAACTTAGTAACAAATACAAGAAGTTTTACAGTAACCATCGATTTAGTGATAATAAATATATAAGAAAGCTACACTCCATTTAAAGATGAAACCAAGTATTTCTATTGTGATATGCCAATATAATTTTCTTTATATACACCTGTACAGGTAAAATAATAAAAAAGACAGTGTGGAAACTCAACAAAATTTTACATGAAATTAAATACAACTGATAACAGAATAAGGCTTGTGAAAGCTATCACCAACGTAACAATTCGTTAAGGAAACAGTGGGCATCAATCATTTTATGTTTCAGAACAAAAAATATATCTCTTCGCTAAACAACTTTACATACACGCTAACGATGATGAGAACAATGGTAATGTTTTATAATATTAATTTTCCTAAAAAACATGAGCCACGCAACGTAACGCTCAACATCGCTGTCAACAATTTAAGTACATTTCCCTAGCAAGAGAGTCGACACACATTAACACAATATAAATTGAAGGGCAGCACTGATATATATTATGAGAGCTGTATAGAAGGTAGTAATCGTCTACTGTTGTTGGTAGTAGTCGTTGGTCGCGGGATAGTCTTCCGTCACGTCGTTATACTGGTGCGTGGGCGGTTGCACCGGCTCGGCCTGATATAGCGCACCCGACACGAAAGGGTTGTTGGGCACGTGCGCCTGGGCCATGGCGGGCGGCACGGCCGGGCGCGGCGGTGCGATGGCGCCGTAGCCCGCCTGCTCCGAGCCTCGCAGCGGTGCCAACGGAGCCTCCGTCTTGTCCACGAAATATTATCAGGTTATTGAACATACTGTCATTCGATCTATGCATCGTCGACCTGGTGAATACATTATTATACTCACAAAGGTGGTTTCGTGATCCAAAGATTTCATTGGAGGTTCTTCGACTGCGGTTTCGGCCCACGGCTGTAGCTCACCCGATGCGAAGATGGCGTAGATTGTGATGCCAATAAAATGCACCGTAGCACCCATCAAAAACACTGCACGCCACTCAGTTATCGCCTTCTGCATCTCGTTCTGTTTTAATTAAACATAAAATTTTGACAAAAACTACCTTATTTGCGAAAGTTATAGAGAAATTTATAAAAAAAAATATATATATAATATATTTAGAGTGTTATATAGCGAAAATGCAACGTAAACTTTTTTTAGTTAGGTTACTTAAAATAAGTATTGTGCAGAGCAGATCTTGTATGATATACTTTACGTTTGAAAACTGAATCTATAATCCAAACTTTCAGATAACAATATCAGTGCGTAGCATTTGAATATTTAGACTTTACACAATAGGAAAGTCATTCGTGCGAGATGTTAAGCGGTGGCGGGCGATAATAAAGTGCTCAGCCAGAGTACTCCCGCTGTAACGCATCGTCGCGCACCCACAATGATGCTCATTCCATATTCTGCGTGCGACTTGCGCCGAGCTTGATTTCCTTTTTTAAATTAGCTATGGCTGAATGTCTTTTTGTTTCAGTAGTTCTCACCGACTTCCATTTAGAAAACGATACACACTACAATAACATCGGAGTAAACGAGGGTTACAACCACTTTTGACCCTGACAAAAGGAAAACGCCAATGAATAAAAAGTGTATAACTACGTCCAGACACCAGTGAAGTCGAGTTACCTACATCATAAATCACTATAAAGTACAAAGAAAATAGTTGGAATAAATGTATGGGATATTACCTTCCCTTCTGTCATGTTGTCGATCACAATGGGGACGACAAATCCAGCAATTGTACCGATGCCGTTTGACAAACCCATTAGAATGGACGCGTAGCGCGGTGCAATGTCCAGATGATTCACATTGTAGCCTGATATAGCAAAACCACTGCACGCTACTCCCAGGGTCAACTCTATTGTTGCTACATACTGAGAAATAACAGTTCCATAAATATGATTGATTTCAAACTGAAACCTAATAAGTTAACTCAACAAATAAACAATCACCTTGTTATTAGCATAAGCAACGAGAACGAAAAAAAACGCCTCTAAGCCGAATCCTCCACAATTGAAGAGTTTTCTCACGTTGGTAGTGGTCATGATGTTATTTTTACGTAAGTAGTCTGCCATCATGCCGCCAATAGGCACCAATGACGTCATTATTAAATGTGGAATGGCGCCGACAAACCCAGACTGAAAACACAAATAACGATTAAGAAGGCACGTAAGTTTGTCACCTTTCGAACGATTTTATTAGTAACTGAAATTACCTCTGTGATCTGCATGTTGAATCTTGTTTTAAAGTAGGAAGACTGAAATATTACTAAGAGGCAAAAGTTCCATGTTCTGCAGAAATTTGCTACAATAATAGCGTACACCTAAAACAAAAAAATATTTTTTATCAAAAAAATCAATTCAAATATTGTCTTGTTTATAAAATCTAGAACAAACTCACTGGAGGTGAAGTGGCAAAAGCTTTCCAGGGCGTTGCCCAGAAGCCTGGCATTGCGGCTTGTGTAGCGGTGCCAAGCGATTGTTCGATGTAGGTCAATTCTTTAGCCGTAATAGTAGGGTGCTTGCTGGGTCTTTCAAATACCAACCATAGCCATAACATATACCTGTAATAGAAAAAATCGATATCCATGATGTCTTATTTGATACTAACTATTTACTCGTACAAGAAGAAAAACAAAAATATTTACCAAATCACTCCAAAAATTCCATAAAAGTAGAATGGCGCTTGCCAGCTGATATAATCCGTAAGCAGACCAGACAATGGCATGCCAATTACAATACCCGCGTATGTGCCACAGAATGCCAGAGTTGCTAAGCGGGATCGCTCTAGTGGTGGGGCCCACATGCGCCAAATACCGTGGCATGATGGGTAAGTTACGCCCTAAGGAATAACAATAAGTATAATAGGCAAGTATAACAACAACTTCTAAAAATGTATTACGTACTAACTGGTAACACGTATGTAATATTATAGAACATAATATCTAGTCAAAATAAAATAGCAAAAAATGCTACAATAAATAATTTCTATGAATGGTCCCCAATCTTAAAGATTTAATAGGATAGCAGAGGCATTGAAGAATCAACTAAGCCGGGATATGCGGAGACGAGCAAATACGTTTCCATGGCGACGAAGGGCCCGGTAATCCTAAAGAGGCTTTGTACTTTGGTAAGCGATGTCGACTACACTCAAGTGAGATACGCGATAGATACCAATCGTTCTTGACGCTATCATTGAAAATGAGTACTTTGAAATCAAATAAATAATGTTGTCATCAATGTTATTTCAAATTTTAGTTTCATTTATACATAAATAAAAATAGCAAGCCTAGGAAAAACAAAATTCAGATGATTTTTCTTTTCTAATAAATATGATAGATTCAAACATCAAAGTCCAAAACACAAACATCTATAAAAAGGGTAACATCGTACTAACATGCATTTAGTTTCACAAGAGTATCGACTAGGGGAGTGTAATCCAAACGTGACGAGACGAATATTCGACACGGTCTCCGCTTCAAAATTTCAAGTATTGGTAATAAGCTTGATCATGCAAGCTCACGTACTGCCAGTCAAATGTCCTAAATTTTAAACGTGTGACATTTCACTTACTACGGGTTTCCCTTCCGCTTTACAATTTGAGTCTCACACACGATCCTGTCTTTTTATTATATTTCTCATAAGTAAAACCTTAATTTCAAAGTTTTATAAATTAAGAAAACATGGCTTTTATTACACACCTCAACAAAGCCCTGTGCCACTTTTAAGATGACGACAGCAGCGGGACCAACTGTCATAGCGCCGGGAATAGCCATATTGAATATAGCAGACGTTACAATAGCCACACCAAAAATCCTGTTGGCTGGATACATTGATGCTAGATAACCGCCTGGGACTTGAGTGATAAGATATCCGGCAAAGTAAGAAGAGTCTATGGACGATTCAACACTCAGTGTCCAGTTAAAAGGTGTCTCTTCAGGTGAATTCTGTATAAACATAAAAGTAGTTAGTAAGCATTGCAATACCAGTTAAGAAATTAACAAAATAAAATATTTACCCCGGAGTCGTCTGTCATCTTCAACTTAGCCATACTCATGTTACACCGCATACCAAACATGATGCTGAAGCCGACACACGCCAACAGAGCTACGGTGTAACGTGCACTCAAGCAGGGACATTCCGCGCGCACGTACTTATCTGTTACAATGCAAACCCATTTACTCTATTCTTTTTATAGGTCGGTAACTCACTAAAAACACAATTCACTAAAAATCTTCTAGATTCGATGATTTAAAAGTAAAAAAAAAAAAATTAAGAGAAAGTGTTTATTTATATATATATATATATATTATTTTTAGGTATAGGTATTAGGTATAACAATTTGTATTTATTTAAAATAAATACTTCTTGTATCTTAATGTTTTCTCTCAATTTTTACGAATAGTTATGAATTATATATTCCGAAGATAATGTGCGTATATAAAATTACATATGTACTCGTATGTTTCATTTTTGTAAGAGTAAACTTTATAACATGCTGTTACTGTACTGTGCTAGAGTAAACATCTTACACAGGGCCGTCTGATCCCAAACTAGGCAGAACCTGTACTGTAGTAACCAGACTGCTCATAAACATCCTTATACATATATTTCTAAATACATACATATTATAGATACATTACACCCAGACATAGAACAAATGATCGTGCTCATCACACAATTATTTGTCCTGGGTGGGAATCGAACCCACGACCTCTAGCTTAGCAGTCAGGGTCACTAACCACTACACAGGCTCGTCATCAAGGTCTCTTACAATATTGAAAACGTATAAAGAAAGTATAAATGCATTATATCAAATGACAATTTTAATGATAATTTTTAAGCGTTAATGTTTAAGGGGTCCTATGGTTATTGTTGTTTTTTACTTTTTTATTTAAATCAATACCTATCGCTCGTGGTGGAGGTCGATCAGGTGACGGTGGTGTTTCCAGGTCTTCTCCATCGTACATCTGATCATAGCCCTTCTGCTCCACGTGGAAGTTCTCATATTGAGTATTTCTGCAACAAATTAAAACTTAAATACGTTTAGCAGTAAAAAACGTTAAAGTAATGAATTTTGAATTTGTACAGCACTCATCACAAATAATGAGTATAAAAATCATGATCCTTCCTATTCTTAAATAGAGCACATAAGGTTTTAATTAGGTTTAAGACTCAGATAGAATATTAGAAATTCCAACAAAATATTTTCAATCTCGGTTTACGTCTATTTTTTTAAATTGTTTTTGATACTGTTTAAGCCAAAACGTAAGTCAAGTTATATTTTTGTAATTTTTAAGGCCTAAAATATTATTTCAGCAGAGTTTGCCTGTTGTTTTTATTTCATGTGTTCAACAATCATATAAAGTCTACCTATGTATATGTAAATCTATCGCGTGATATTTTGCTCTATTTTCTCTGTAATTGAAACGGGTAGGAAGAGACTCGCCTCGCAAGAGGAAATAAAATTAAAATGCGTCTGCCTGCAAACAGGGTTGACGTGTATCACACCTGAGCTTCGAATCGATACTTCACATACACGGGTTATAATTAACCCTCTACACAGTCTAATAAATATAAACATAACAAGATGTCTATGAACTTGGATAAATACAACAATTGCTTCTACGAGTATTGACAATAAGAATGTATTTGAATCTATTCGAATTCGGTTGAATCTATTCGAATTTTGATCTACATTACTGCTGCAAAACTTACTTAACTTTCTTTAACTTCTTGCCAAAGATTCCTAGGTTACCCATTGTAGAATATAATAAGTACTTTTTATCGCTGAGAGTCGGATGCCCGCTTAACTCTACACTTCTATTGAAATTGTTTCGAAACTTTTTGCATGCATTCAAACTATAAAACGAGAGAAAGAATTCCACTAGTAATTTAGTTTTGTCCTGGTCCACTTTACATACTACGTAGAATAATAAGAATATTTCTGAAGTTAAAGTTTACTAAATACGCGAGAGCAAATGTTACATAAAGTATACTGATGTCTTAGATACAACAGTGATTTCCATTATCCTACTTCTCAGCTTAGCTAATTTTGATGATTTGATATGTTATGTCACAGTTTAGTACATCAAAATTAATATAATACTTTAAGGAAACATGAATGTAATTACACATAAACGTTACAATCTCGTCTCTCGGTACCATGACCTGACGCGGCCCCATTAGACGCAGAATTAAATTAGTTGCTTTTGTCGTCGCACGTCGCGTTTCATTGTTTGCAAAATGATAGGCTTTGGTCTTGACGGAGCGAACAGGCCGAGTAGTTCGCACCTACTGGGATTTCAAGGCAAGAGATGTAACTTCGATAATGGTTGTGTCCTCTTGTGTCATGAATTCCCCCGGCTATATTACGTATTCTAAAATGGTGTATAGCGACGTAAGCTTTCAGTATTATTTCATATTTAAGCTTATACTTTAGAGGGCGTTTTTTACAGAAATCTAAAAGTAATAATGAAGTTATCTGGTGAAGTTTCATCATTATTAACCTTTAGTAGTGCACTTCACAGTACATCTTTCCTTAGTAACCTCCTGGTGAAGTTTGGTGAGTTCCAATCCTAATTTGTATATAATTTTTCTATAATTCGCCGAATCATTACTTCAAACTACAGAAAAAAATATTTTTTGCGTTGTGAATAATATAAATATCTAGGTCTCGTCTACCTTGACAGTCGTTACCAACTCCCTATTTTGTTACTATGACAAAATTACAGTTTTCCGTTGCATTTTATGTGCCTAAAATTAAACATAAAAATTTCGTAAAACAATAAGTAATTTTAAAGCTATCAAAACTTGTGATGAATATAACGACTTGTGGGTGGGTTTTGCGTAAGTCATCGGCGCGTAAATTCATTTTTCCGCTGACAAAAGTAATAAATGTGGCTATCTGTCCCGTCCCCCGTTTAACGTTGTTGGTAATGAATCGTCGCATAAAAGGCATAACCAAGTGGAAACGAGGCGCGATGCGACGGAACACCCTATCGTCGTGCCATCGCGCGTCGCGTCGCTCCCTGCGCTAATGCATTTAGCTGTGACTGGATCACTGGACGAGACACCAACGTCAACAGTTGCGCAGATGGACCCATCTAGAGGGATTTTATGTTAATTATTCGATCATGCGATTAAATAATGCACGCTGGAGACTCATGGTTGTGTACCACAGGTGTCATGAGCTTAAAGAGCTTTAAGAATGATGCCCTTTAAACTAAGATAAATTAATATATTATGGCAATATATTTATTATATCATGTATATCAATTATGCAAACTCAAAAAAGTTCTCAGGTGTTTCGTTTATTTAGATGTACACGATCCCTCACTTCTCCCAATCATTGTGATGGCGATCTATGGTAACCTAAAAACTAAATTTAAAGGGTCTATCTTCCAGCTGATCTACATATAAGTGTATTGCTTTAAAAACATGTGATTATCAGTTTTGTTAAGGTGTCCCCTTCGAGACACCCCTTGTTCGCGTTGGCGGCGCTTTATTGTCCCGCTAATGCACCCCATACATTGTGACTATAATTTTGTGACGTAACTCTAAATGGTGTAATTACAGTTTTGTCCCCGTTTGTATACGCACTGTTAATGGATACAGTCATTTGGAATTTTAAATGTACATGAATTTGATGCGTACAAAATTTAAAAACTTCGAAATCCTTAACAAAGTTATAACTTTGGGAAATAGATATAAGATGTTCTTATATTGGATGGGATGCTTTAATATCTTTGTTAGGGTTTCCCAGCCTATACAGAAAAAAAAACGATTTTTAGTGCCTTTATATTTTTCTAATTGACCCTTATAACTGAATTAAAAAAATATTATTGTTTTCGGATAACGGTAATCCGTGCCGACTTGAGGTCAAACTTTTATGAAAATATTTGTATAAAAACTATTCAGGACATTTCGTAACATAATTTTTATTCAGTAAATAAACACATCAAACATCATTTATTGATTTAATATTTATATCATACATTTATTTCATGTTTTTAATTAAAACATTTTTGATAAATAAATGTTTTCAAATTGTTTATATTCCTGTACGCCACGTAGTAAATTAAATATCGCTTTTGTTCTTCTTCAACAGTGATTTTAAATGGCAATCTTACATTAACTTTACTTCTTTCTCTACTGTATCATTAAAGGATCTTAGTGTCATCATCTGTTTCTTAACTTGTTGAAAAGTAATATTATTAGACCATGAAGTACGACAGGACTCTTTGGAGAACTGTCATTAATTTGGAAATTATTGAATAAAGACTTCCTTTTCCATCAATTCGTCTGTATTTGTTACGCAATTATTTTCATGTTTGTTACCTCAAAACTCTTTCATTTGTAAACCGTTTTTTTTATTTTAAAATTATTTTTGTAATCGGAACGGTATACTCCCGAGGTGGTCCATTACCACCAAATCAGGATTTGATGAAGGGATCCTAGAGAAATCGAGGGAAACCCTCAAATTTTACAGGCCAGAAGGGACTATTGCTAATATAATGTTACCTGTTATATTGAGGGTACTTATTATTATTTTTTTACTTATATTTGTAATTACTTTTTAATTTTTAAGGCTCTTTGTCAGTATTGTTTAAGTCGGTTCAACTTTTTGTTTGAAAGGATTTATATAAAAGCGAAGTCATCGATGACTCGTAAAGTGAACCAGAAAGATCTTCTTTGGAAAGGATGCTTCTTAGTGAATATTGTGTAGTTTCCCTTGAAAACTTATAAACTATTTTTATTTCTCTTTAAGTATATATTTTATTTCTAAACATGTCTTATAAACTTAAGCAAAGTCAATTTTTGTAACTTGAGACTGAACAGACAAAATTCAAATAGAACACAAAAAGATCCTAAAAACACACGAACGAACTCTTAAAGAACTATTCTCATGAATCGGCTCTGATATGCAAATTATAGTCTTAAGTATTGTGTATATCTTGATCTTGAGTGTTGTCTTATAAATGTATCAGGTGTAAAAAACACTAAGGAAATGGGAAAAATTACACTCTAATCAGCTCGAATGAAGAAAATTTCACTTACTAGCTGTCATTGTGATGTTCCAGATTCTATGAACTACCAAAACTTATATTGCAATTACTTTGAAGTGCAAATTGAATCTGTCCGAGTTTCGCTACACAGTTAAACTTTCAAGAGAGCTTTTGTCAAGGAACACTTTGCTATATATGCATGTCGTACAAAATCCTGCCTTTACTTATGAAATTATACTCGTAGATTCTCTCATTAAACTTTTCAAAGCAATACTTGAAGCAAAAGAAAGAGTTTTTGTATTACAAATCTTCTTGTTTCACAGGCAACTGTATCAAATGTATAACATTAGTCAGCGTCAAATAATAAAACGTGTATCTACATATAGGTTTTCTCGACTGCTCGAAGACAAAACTCCTGGATCAGACGTGAAGAGCAGGGGTGCGCGCAAGGCTGGGCGGTAGCGGGGGTTATTGCGTAGATCACAATATGCACTTCAACATTCCCCACTATGAATACCTCCAGATGTCAGGGTGGGAGCCAGAGCTCTTAATTAATTAATGAAGACTGGGATATGAGTAGCTGTTTAATTTACCCTAAATACGTCATATAATTGATGATAGTTTAACCTTGTTTAGTTCAATTAAAATTGCAAATAATGTAATTTAATATTCATGTTATTATTATTTATGTTAAGTATACATTTATATAAAAATGGCAGTATAGCAAAATATAGGTTTATTTATATATAAATTCACACAGTTCCCCCTACAACCTTTTTTGTAATAAAGGTATCAAAAATATATTAAAAATTGTGTTCGATTCCGGCCCTGTCAGCACGCGCGGGAGGGAGTAGCTATTACACCCCGTAAAGCCACCCTCTCTAATTGATTTACAATTGTCGGTTAAATTTGTTTCCCGACCACCCCCCGTGATCACCGATCGCGAATGCATAAATTTGCGATTCCGTCGATAAATGGTAGAAAACTATTCATGACATTACAACAACAATT